GACCCCCGCCCCATCAGGTTCCTTCTCTTATGCTTCCTTCTTTAAAGTCTTGACTCAGCTAGATAATCCTATAGGCTTTTCTTTCCCTGTTAAAGAGATTTGATGCAAGCCAATTCCTCCTAGGGTTGGAAGTTTTTGTTTGAAATTATTTCTGAATAGAATCAACACTAGTGATCTACTTCAAAAAAAGAGACCCAAGACTTGTTTATTTCCTCATATGTGTATTCTTTGTAAAGATGATGGGGAGACTGGTTTTCACCTTTTGATTTCTTGCCGGGTTGCAAAAACTATTTGGAAATGGGCCTTTTCTCTCTTCGGGCTTGAGTTGAACCCCTTGTAGATGTGCAGAGCCTTTTTTTGTTCTTTTATCAGGTGGCATTTGAAAAGGGGCAGAACTATGTGGAGATGCCTAAGGGCTGCGGTGTGCTAGTCAGTTTGAAAATTTGATAGAGCTGATTCACATCAGGGTAGTTCAGTGGCTGAAATCATCGAACCTATTCATAGATTTTACTGTGGATGATCTCCTAAGGAATTGGAGAGAGATTGCTAGCAGTGCCCAGGTCAAAACGGGTTTAAGTCTTTCTTGGACCTCTCCCCCACTAGATTTATAAAGCTAAACTTTGATGGTAGTAGAAGAGGGAATCTTGGGTAGTCAGGCATAGGGGGCGTATTTAGAGATGAGAATGGGACTGTTTTAGTTCTATTCTCAGGCCCAATCAGGAGCGGTGACTCTCTCAGGGCTGAGATCTTTGCAGTCTTAGAAGGTGCCCAAAGAGCAAAGGATATGAACATTAGAAGGCTTGAAATTGAAAGGGATTCAGAGGTGGTGGTAGGGTGGCTGCAAGAAAACAAGGCTGGATTATGGAACTACAACAACGAAAGGAGAAAATTCAGATGGCTAGTTAAGGACATGGAAATAAAGTTCAGTTGGGTGAAGAGATCTGCTAATTCGTTTGCTGATGGGTTAGTTAAGCTTGGGGTGGACAAGGAATCTATATATTGGGCTCAGTTGTAATTCTGGTTTTCTCATTGTGGGGGTTCATGCCTCTGCTGGGGAGTTAAGAGACTTTATCTCCCCCTTTGTATAATTAACTATTCTGATTGATTATTCAAAGTTTTGTTATTGATAAAAAAAAGAAGGAATAAAAGAACTTATAGATGGTTAAGGAGGGAAAAAAAAAGTTGATAAGATCCCTGCATGAAAACTCCCATTGCTATTCTCTACTTATTGGACCATTGTTCATCAAGTAATGGGATTGAGATGAGTGCTATGTTGAAACCATTGTTGATTCTTCGCGAAAATCTTTGGTGCCATTGCTTTGAAGCCTAGATTACTCTATTAAGTTGTGGACAGATTGAATATTCCATCCCCTTTTCATTAGATACCGAATGTGATACACAAACACATGCAACTTGGACGAGTTTCCATGGTGGGCTTTTTGAAATTGACATTCTTGTGCTCAGACTCCATTACACATTTCGGTTACTTGGGATTCTATAAGCCATCCATACTGACTTTTTTCTGTTTTTCATTGAAGCAGCTTGTGCAATACTTTTCTTTTTCTTGTACTTAGCTATATTTTTATCATCTATCATCCACCCTGAGTAATCACTGTCCTGATGCTCATAGGCGGACATTGATGGGAGTGACACTCTGAACTGAGTTCGTCACAATCTCCATTCACCTGAAAAGAATTAGAAGTAAAGAACATCTGTACACAGCTTTTAATTTGTTCAACAAGAACGATAGTGGGTTTATTGAGAGAAGCATTACTAGAGGATGACCTTGGCCCTGACAATGAGCAGGTGATTCGAGACATACTCTCCGATGTTGATACAGACAAGGTGAATCTAGAAACATCTGTTAAACATCTTCTTCATAACAATCTCGTGCAAAGTTCTTTGTTGTCTGACAGGTTACATCCGTTTTGTTTTGTTTGATTTATTGATTTTTGTAGGATGGTCGAATCAGCTATGAAGAATTCGAGGCAATGATGAAAGCCGGTATGGATTGGAAAAAGTCATCTCACCAATATTCATGTGCAATGTAAAATACACTTAGCCTCAAATTGTTCAAAGATGAATTATTGCAATCGAGAAAATAAAGATGTCTTGGAGGTATTCCAAAATCCTCTTGTGGATGTTCTCTTCCATCACGTTCGGAAACCTTAATATTAGATCTGAACATATATCCATAAATAGGGGTGGATTCGAGCCAAATACTTGGTTATTTGAACTCAGTTCGCTGAAATTGTGTTGGGCTCAAGCTTGAATTCGGATTGGCTTGAGTTCGATTGCAAAGTCAAGTTTTTTTCTAAAAAATAAAAGTTATACATATAAAAATATTATTCTATTTTACGTAGAAAAAATTAAAAATTATAAAAATTAGTTGTTATTATACATATAAAAAATAACAAAATATATTCATATAAAAATGTTTTTATTTTACATACAAAAATAAGGATTATAAAAATTAATTACATTATACATAAAATAAAAATATTATATATAAAATGTTATTTTATTAATAAAAATTATTTTTTATATTTATATATATACATATTTATGTATATAATAAAAAATTATTTATTTATTATACTAGGCTCGATTAAGCTCATGAACCTCACGAGCCGAGCTTCACTGGACTCAAGCTCGGCTCGATTAACAAAGAACCCATATCCATCAAACATCTGTAATTCCATTTCTTTAAGTAAATGAGTACCCCTTAATATCCATTCGTTGATCACGTTGATGGCCACGTTGATGGAGACTAAAACACACTTAATATCCATCAAAATCCTTGATGGATGGATAAAAGAGTCAAGGTATGATTTTATGCCGGTTTGGGTTGGGGCACCGGAGGGTCATAAGATTTTGAAATAAAGTAGCCATTGTTTTTTGCTCCAAGGGGCTACATAACAGGGGTAGTCCATCCCCAATCCCAAACCCCCCACCCAACCTAGGTGGGATTCGATCTCAAGGCTACAATAAAGTAGCCATTAGTTCTGCTAGCTACTGTATGGTCTGCTTTTCTTTATCTTAATTAAGGTGAATTCTAGTGGAGAGTTCTTTATGTATGCATATGAACGGAGAGGCATTGTTATACTGGACCGGATGGTCAGACAAAAAAAACCAAGAACTGTTATTTACTCAAAACCGTTGGTTTGATCAGCAAACTACTGACACGGGCAGTTGAACCATTTGAACCACTAAACGGTTTGGTTGATCTTTATTTTTTATTTTTGTTAAAATGGGTCATCTGTTCGGTTCAAACAATCAGACCAATCAACATGAGAACCTGACCTCTGACAAGCTCGCTGTCTGAATCGGTTTTAAAAACCTTGATTCAATGATACCGTGAATTCTTAGATATGCAGCGAATGTCCTCAACTATTCATTTATTGCTGGCTCAATTCTCGTCTATCTAAAGATCAAATACACCAGCCCCTGTGATTAGACCATCTCCGCCACCAAATCTTTCTGTAAACGCTTGTTACATTGGAAAAAAAAACAATAAACAACAGACACTCAGACACCATCGTGACAAATGCTTGTGATCCACCAGTTTGCAGTTTTGGTGGAAATGTTATCAATGTATGCTGTGTCGCATCATCAATTTTGGCATTGGACTTTGATGCAAACATGGAGTTATTGGTTTTGCAGTCCATTAAAAGCCACGACTGTTAACAGAGAATACTAGAGAAGGGTTTTCCCTCATTCCCACAACTGCTGGCCTTGTTAGCTTATTTTTCGATGGATTTTCTAGCCCCATGCTTCAATGGTGGAATGCATGGATGAAGTCATGCATCTCGAGGGGGGAATATCTGTCCATTTTTAACCCCCTTATAAGTTTCAGTATTTATAACAAATCTCAAAGTTGAAGTCCTTTACCCAATTAAATAAAAATGCATTTAAAAAATACACAACTGGCATAATACAGCCCAATACCAATGTTTTCAACTTGTCATTGACCCATACAATCGAATTGTTAAACCTGTCGTTTGGAGGGAAAGGCAATTTACTTCAACTCCAAACCTGTCAGTCCACCCAAAAGGCTGAACTACTGACCCACCACCCAGAAGAAAAAATGGGTCACCCTCTAGGTCAGTTTTTAAAACACTAACCAATACAACATTAGAGCTTGAACCTTGCTACTGATGATCTAGTGGGTCACTTGGCAATCCCCTCAAAGAGGAGATGCAGGATCAAACCCACATATACGCACTCTCCATGTTAAGGTTGGTGGACCTCACGTGCACTGGGGTTAAGCATTGTCAGTTCGGTTTAATTCAAAGGTAGAACCTGGAACCCACCTTATAGGCTGATTCTAAGTTTTTGGAATTAGAACCTACCCTATCAAGATCACTTCTAGGGTTGGTTCTGGCCTTGGTGGTTACAAGGCCAACCATGGAATTCTTAACATTAAAAATTGGAACTGTGACGTAATTACATAATCACAAATTGCATCATTGATAATGTGATCATTAATATTAGTGTAGTGGCATGTTCTATGAAACTTGTGCAAGAAAAAGGTAAAGATATAAATTGATATTATATATTCAAATTTAACTTTTATGACCTGCACCAAAACCAGGGCAAGTATCTATTTTATAATAGTATAGATATATTACTGATTAAAAATCACAATCATAAAATGTTTAAACTTGACTTTATAGTAATCATGATAATATATAGTTTGTAAATTTTAAATGACTCTACAATAGTATAGACATTACAATTTAAACTTTGTAAATTTTACCTTCTACATTACTTATATACATATTCAAATATTAAATTGAAGAAAATTATCAATTCACTTAAGTGGCTCAATGGTCAAGTGAAACCATGATCTTTGTAAATATAGGAGTGCACGGGTGTATTTGAAGAAAATTACCGACCAAGGTCAATCAAGGCCGATTCTTCAGATTGTTTCAAGTAGGGTAGCCCCCAACCCTTGGAACCAACCAGGGTGGGGGTAGGGTTGATTCGAGGCCAATTTCATTTGATTCTGGGTAGAACCAACCCATTTGCTCACTTCTAAAATGCACTTTATTTGCCCCCACCCCATGAACCCCTTGTAATGTGCATAATGTAACATCCCAAAAAAAATACAAAATAAAAAAAAGGAAACCCATGCTCAAAAGAGAATCTACATACATGTAAAGTAGACCTCATATGTTTTCTTCCTACCTTCATATCATCTGCAATTTAGGTGCCTTTTTTTTCTAGAAGGCCTAAAGGCAGATTTCGTTCATCCAAGAACAAGTATAAAATGGCAGGAAATTGCTAAGCAAGAGAACCTAAATATAAATTCTTGAAAAGAAAAAAAAAAACCATAATGGTGGAGAATAGTAAACTAGACTCCTGCAAGCAACATACACACGAGGCATGAGGTATGCCTAGTGGTGGTACTCAAACCACCAACAGACGATGCATAAATCAGCACCACTCCAACCACAAGCATGTAGAGACCCAAAAAACTGTAGAAAGGTAGAACTCTAAAAGGCATTAACCAAACCAACCACAACCCAAAATTGGCTGAAAAAGTTGGACCATGCCCACATAAATCAGCAAACAAAAGACAATACAACCACCCGCCGGTACAAAAGATGGCCGGTGAATCCCAATCTTCAGCAATATGGAAACTATAACCGATAGAAATCACAAGCATCAGCAGCAAATAGAACAAACAATCCACCAAAAATAGCACCAAATAGAGAAATAACCACCTACATTAAACAACAAAAAGAAAATAGATGGAAAACAAAAAGGAAAAAGATGGAAGAAGAGAAAGGAAAATGGGAAGGAAAGATGAGAAATTGAGTAGACGAGGAAGAAAACTATAAATGACAAGAAAGTATCAAGAGGATAAAAGGAGATAAGAAATTAAAGCAGAATAGAATAAGGACGGAAAAAACCCAAAAAAAAAAGATGAAATGAAGTAGAAGAGGGGAAGGGTGGGGGGCGGAGCAGGACGCTGGGAGGGGGAATCGCCCCAGGGGGGCTCCCCAAAAAGAAAATGACAATAAAAGTTTGAGGGTGGAAAGGGACTCCAGAAAAAATCTCGAGAGGTAAACTGAGGAAAACCGAGAGAAAAAATTGGAAAGTGAAAGTAGTTCCCTAACGCAGGTGTTTTCTCACTTGTGCGAGTAAAACCAAGGCATAGACAATCTTCATTGGTAGGAGGTGAGAAATGTAAGGGATAAAAGCGTTACATGGAGAATTGAAAATAGGGCAAAGTTGTTATTCTGGAGCTGGTACTACGCCATTGTCATATGCTAAAGGTGATTAGTGTCAGCTGCAATTAAAACAAGGTTAACTCAAATCACTTATAAACCGGAAAGCAGAAACAAGGAAAACACAAAAGCCTAGAGATGGCAATTTGACTTGTACCGTGGGACTCCGCCCCGCCCCGACTGGGGTGAGTTTATTGACCACTCATCAGGGTTTGGGGCGGGTTTTCAGAAAACCCAAGAATCTGGGGATCGGAGGCAGGGCAGGGATAGTATTTGCCCACCCCACCCCACCCCAAACCTGCCTTGACTGTATTATATGACATAATATATATAAAACTGTTAATACATGTTAATATATATTATGTTATATTATAATATATTATATATTATATTATACCATATTATATTATATATATGAAATAGTTTTAGATAGGTTTCAAAAAATAAAATTACAAATATGCAAGAGTAACAGGGGCAAGGTGGGACAACTTCGAAGATCCGAGTTCTCTGTGGAGACAGTGATGGATTTTCGGGCAGGGCATTTAAGTTCGGGGTTGGGGACAGGGCATGCAAAACCCAGCCAGTTATTTTTCACGTTATTTTTCTTCTTTCCATTTTGGATCCATTGATAAATGCCTACTTAATGCTTGCAACCATCGCAAAGTTGGGATTTAAAGACACTGCTCAGGTTCAAGACCTGTCTAAGACTCTATGCCACTTCATACAAAACCACGCCTGTATTCTATAAGTTGAATGTTGTGCATATGGGATTCACAAGTCACAGGTCATTAATCAATTCCCTTAGGCTGTGTATGGTTTCAAAGAAAAGGTAGGGATTGGAAGGGAAAGGTAGGGAAACCTGTACAAACCTGGTATAGGTTTCCCTACCTCTTCATTCAAACCAAAGACAGCCTGAAGAAATAAAAAGGGTCCTGGGGGGAAAAAAACCAAAATTTTAAAAGTAGATTCAAATCAGGCGTAGCTTAAGTTTACACAGCATGCGTCCATAACGCAGTTGGCTGACAATAGCATTTAAATCATGACAAGAACTTGCTTCTCCAATAATTTTATTTTCATTATCTGATGGTCGCCTGGTCGGTTGTGAAAGCATGCATAACTCTCTCTCTCTCTCTCCCCCAAAGGAAACACGATGTTTTTTTTAGAATAAAGGAACCATGATGTTTACCTACAACATCGACCCTGAAAAGAGAATGGTGCATTATTAACTTTCAATGTGTTGCCCAATACCATATCAGCAACCAACTCAGCGGTTCCCAGTGCCTGAAAAGGTGGGAAAAAATATGTAAGAATTAACAAGACAACTAGAAATGGAACTAATGCTACTCTAAATTCCAAACCTCTGAATAATTTGCCACCTAGTAGAGGTTGGCATATGTATCACTAGGGCTAATAGCAGGGGAGTCACAAGCCAATCATGTCCAGGAGTTTGACTTACAAGACCAGAAAAAGACTTGATGCACCCAAAGAAAAGTATACATTAATAAAAAATCCATATATTTTTTAATTCTAACATCGTGTGCCTATGGAAAATGGTCTACAATTTTATATTTGTTGTCTAATGCTTAGTGTTCTGTAGGAAAGGTGGCATACATTTATGTTAAATTAGGATACAAAAACTTTATTTTAAGTGACCCTCAATAACCAAAAGAGTGTCAGAATACGATGTTTCCAACATGAACATTTCATTTTCATCCATTTAGAAGAGTCCATGCAACACTGACCAATAGTAATTTCTTCATGCTTGCAACATGAACCTCAATTCAAGTGTGTAAAAGGGTAACCTACCTGCATTTGTGTGTCAACCTGCCCAAAGATGATGCATATTTTGGAAACTAAGGATAAGAAAATTACCATTGAAAGTCCTCCACCTTCATGTCCTGTTGCAATTAAGACCTTTGGCAGACCAGGAACAGTATCTATAATTGGCTTCCCATCAGGCACTAAAATCAGTGTAAGGGTACACCACTTCATCAGTTTCATAGTGGTATATTTGAAAAGACAAACCATGTCCTTTTCTCCAATATGAGAGAAAAGGTGATATAAGCTAATGAAAAATGGATACAATTCTCCAATTATAGCAAGCCAAGGAACTTGATAATTGATACTTACTATAAGGCCGCAGTCCTACTCTCACTTTCCTGTTCTTAGTGAAGTCAGCCAAGGATAGTTCTCTTATAGAGGGAAAGAACTCCCCAGCACGTGACCAAATTTGGTTTATGATGACATCATCTACTTCAGTGTTAAATCCAGCAAATTGGCGGCTGCTCCCTGAAAAATACATTTCTTAGGAGATGAATGAGCAGAGTAGTGCACAAGAAACAAACATGAATAAGGAGAGGCAGCCATATTCCTTGTCTATGTTGTGTATATTGATACATGAAACCTTACACACAAGTATGGCATACAAGTGATCTTGTAGCTTAAAGAAATTAAGCCATGATAAGATTCCTTTGATCTATCTGGTTGTTGGGTACTGACAAATCTCATGCTTTCTTAAATCTTTGTTATTGAAAAAATGTAATAAAAATATTGCACATTAAAGTTTCTTAATGTGTCTGACTCTGACATCCATGCTCTATACTGATAGATCTACTTGAAAGAAGAAAAAAAATAGTAATAAAAACAAGATAAGAACTTTATTGTATCAAAGATTATAGACCAAATCAAATTCTTATTGCCAATGAGCATGTTCAGGACATGAAAACAATTGGTAAAAAGGGTTGGGTTTATAAGTTGGAACCAAAAATTATAGATCAAATTCTTGTTCTAGCACTTCATCAACTGTGGTAAAAGACCCACCAAAATATAATAACCACTATGATTCTTCCGTGGTTTCACCATAGCAACTAATGGAACCTCCCTTGGTATCTCCTCTGTAATGATCATAGCTCTAGGTTGAATGCACTTGATGGAGTACTCGCTAAGCTGCATGAGCTATTTAACTACTCATCCTAATAGTGGTAGTCTGTCTATGAAATACCTAATAGGATCGCTTGATGACCAAGAGAACTTTGTGTTCCAAAAGGTAATGTCTGAACTTTAGTGTTGCAAATACCAAGACTACTCGCTAAGCTGCATGAGCTATTTAACTACTCATCCTAACAGTGGTAGTCTGTCTATGAAATACCTAATAGGATCGCTTGTTATGACCAAGAGAACTTCGTGTTCCAAAAGGTAATGTCTGAACTTTAGTGTTGCAAATACCAAGACTAGACATTGCTTCTCCATATCTATGTAGTTTTGCTCAGCATCCTTTGAGACTTGACTAGCATAATAAATGGGGCACTCCTGCCTCTCCTCGTTCTCCTAGGCCAATAAACAGCCTACAGGTTCAGGACTCGTGTCAATATACAACCTAAACTCCTTCCTCTCTAATAGAGATGCCATTACTGGCGCTTTAGCTAGGGCTTGTTTAATTTGTTGAAATGCTTCTTCATGCTCAATGCCCATTGGAAATGGGTGTTCTTTGTTAGTTTTATTAGTAGAATTGTAGTCACTGCAAGTACATGTATAAATCTTCGTAAATATGGCACCTTAAGAATATCTAGAGTTGCTTTTCATTGGTAAGGTGGGGCATGTCTACTACTGCTTTAAATTTAGCTTCATCATGATGGATTCCTCTGCAGTATACCTAATACCCTAAAAGTTTGCCCAATTTTGCACCAAATGCACACTTTACAAGATTCATCCTCGGGTTATACTGCCAACACCTTTCTCAAAACATTTATGACCTTTATGCCTAGCTTTCACTACCACATTATCAACATAAAACTCAATCTTCTTATGCAACATATCATGGAAGATACATGTCATAGTTCTTTGGTAAGTGGCTTCAGTGTTTTTAAGCCTGAAAGGCATCACCATATAAGGATCTGATTGTAACCATCTACAGGGTTCATAAGGATCTGATTGTAACCATTATATGCATCCAAGAAGGAATAGAGTTCATGCACACTTGTACAATATATGAGGAGCTCTATGTTGAAAAGGGGAAACTCATCCTTATGGCATGTTTTATTTAAATGCCTGAAGTGTACGTTGTAGAGAAGAGAAGGGCTAGTTTTGTCTCTTTACCTTCTTTGTATGTATATTATTAGGCATGTATATTAATGTACAGCCTTGTAATAGCTTTGTACTTTATTTCTTTTGTAAGGAAAATTTTATCCATTCATCTTTTAATAAAAATATATCTTTTCTAAGTTTGATCGATGTTAGATCAACCCTAACAATCTTAGAGTTTTTCTTGTTTCCCTCTCTCTTCAAGGTTAACATGGTATCAAAGTGGGTTATTCTCTAATTTATTTTCAGTACATTCAGATCAATCTGTCTTCCTTTACTCTGTGCAACCAGCAAGAGAAATCTCATTATATCTCTCTTGAAAGACATCAATTTGTGATAAAACTTCAACTGAAGTATCGCCTGGTCCTATTCTTCATATTCTAGAAGTTTCATCAGCTTGGGGTAAGTGCTGAAGGTGTTGTGTTCATCTTTCTTGGGTGGAAGAAAACCTACTTTCCTCGTCTAGACTGTGATTTCAAATCTCAGTTTCTCTTAGCTTTAGACATCTTCTCTGTCATTGTTGATGTTGCAATATCAATGAGGGGGCTTAAAACCGCACATGACATGTTTAAATACCTTGAGAAGGTCTATTAACAGTCAAACATGTCTACGCAATATCAGATTGAATTACATATATTTTCTTGTGCTCAAGGGGAGAAACAGATTCAGGAGTACTATGCTGGTTTCGTGAAGAAGAACTTTGATAAGAGGAAAGTTGTGTGTCTCCAATCTAATTATGAGACAGTAAGGTGAAACATACTCAGTAGCAAGACTGTACCTGACCCAGATATGATCCTTGAAGAGTTATTAATAGAGGAAACTCGGTTTCTTACTCAGGCCTCTCTTGATTAGAAGAAAGAACATGGCATAGATGCAGTTTTTCTGGATACCAATCAAAAGGGAAAGACGGATTGTAGTGATCTGTAATGACTATATTTGATTGTCAGAACAAAAGGGGAACAATAGACCTACCCCCTTAATGATGGCAATGTGTGTTGTTCTGACAATAGATTTGATTTGTTGATATTTTCTGGCCTTGTAGTGATCTATAAAGACTAATGAGCAATTTCAGGTAGAAACCAAAGAGATGAGTGAGCCGTCTAGCCTGTAAACATAAGCTTCCTCATCAATCCTTTTGCATCGTCTGCTGTGTATTTGTCTTCGTCAGTGAACAAAGCCTGAAGCAACCAAAAAAGTGAGGACAAGAGAAAAAGGCATCTTGAGCAGGTGGTAGTTGTCGATTCAATCACCACTACAACAGGGTTAATGTTGCTGGCGCACCCCGAGTTGCAAAGATCATATTCCACTGTTACAGGCTTTGAATTACAGGGAATTGAGAAAGAACAAAAAGTCAAATTTTAGATCATTGTTGCAAGTTGTGGTTGTCGACAATGAATTGCAAACTCCAAATCCAGCCATTGAGTTGTTACTTGTTGAGAGTCTTGAGACTTCAGATTTCAAGAATCTTGAGAAAACTACAAACCCTAGGCTAATTAATGAATAGGTGTTTCCGTGTTTAGGACTCTTTCATTTCTTTTAGTTTCAATTGAAAACTGCTAACCATTGCCCGAGCTGAACAGATCAACAGTTCAACCACCCAGGTCAGAAATTTTTGACCATTTCAACATTTTTTTCAAGATAGGTTCAGGACCAAAATGGAACCGATGACATGACCAGTTCCCAGGTCAAATGGTCTGACTGTCCATTCCAATCCAGTTTTCAAAACAATGCCTGAAGGTACTCCAAGCTAAGGCATTCTTTTTACTAAACATGGGCATATGAAACTGGAGGCATATACAAATGCAAACTGGAATGGCTGTACTGATGGAAGGAGATCCACCTCGGGTAACTATGCTATGGTGGTACGGAACATTGTTTCATGGAGAAGTAAGAAGTGGCTACATCTTCTGCTGAGAAAGCATACAAGACAATGGCCCATGGAATTTCGGAGTTATTTTAACTTAGATCACTTTTGGAGGAACCGGGCATTGTTTATGAGAAGCTGATGATGTTATATTGTGACCACCAAGCAGCCATAAGCATTGCACATAATCCTCTCCAACATGATAGAACAAAGCACGTTGAGGTTGATAGACATTTTATATGGGAGAGAGTTGCTTCAGGGAAAGTTTGTTTGCCATTTATTGATTCTAAAGAATAATTAGAAGATGTCTTGACAAAGAGAGTTTCAAAAGGGAAGCTACTGCATTATATAAGCAAGCTGAGCATAATTGACATCTATGCTTAGCTTGAGGAGTGTAGAGAGATTGTGCCAAATGGGTCCTAGTTTCTTATTTCTTGTCTTATTTTATTTGTTATGTTTATGTTAACGGGCCTTGTCCATATCGGCCTGTTAACTATTTTTCATTCTTTTAAGTTATGTTTATGAACTGGTTGCCCCATTAAGGGCATCTTTGTAATAAGGGCATTGAGATTAGATTAATAAAAGTGATTAGGAGAAAGAAGAGGACTGATAGAACTCTCTTCTTCTCCCTTCTTCTCTCGTCTTCTTCTTCCTCTTCTGGTTTCTCTTATTTCTTCTCTATTTTCTTTCTAATTTCAGATCAAATTACTATTTTCTATTGGTCTGACTCATATCTAGGTGCATGTAGGACACTCTTCAACCCATTCTATTCTCTATTTCCAGTCGATCAACCAAGATAGGGGTGCTGGGGCATATTTTTCTATGTAACTCACATATGAACAGTCTGTATATACCCTTGTACAACATACAGTTAGAGCAATAAAGTTTAAGCTACTTGTCAAAAAAAGCTTATTATACCACAGAGTATTGAAAGAAAATACATTCAATAGGTAAAACACTTACCCAGAACAAGGTTTCCCATTGCATCCATTGTGGCAGTCATTGAAATAGACAAGGTCTGATCATGGTCAACAAATTTAGATGCATTATTGGTATAACATTGAGAAACCATTTGATGATCAACATATCCAACCTCCATCAGACCATGGTTCAGTTGCAGCATGTTGGAGTTCTCAACCACAAGGAGGTGACCCTATGATGCAAAGAAAACAAAAGATGGCCTTAGCTAGGGTATTAACTGAAAACTATTCATGCAACACAGTTCTACAAAGAGGCATTTTTCACTTTGCATTATGTTGTCTGCCAAGAGGCATTTTTCACTACAGAAAATGAGACGGTGCTTCCCTAACTTTATTTCCTTCCCATTCTTCTTAACCCAATCAAGAGTGGTGTTCCTTCCCTCTTTCCTAGAGTCTATGTCTATGTTGATTGGTCTGGTTGCTTGGATACCCATTGCTCTACCATCAGATGGTGTGTTCCAAATGACTCCCTCATCTTCTTGGAAGTAAAAGAAGCAACTGATTCTTAAAATTGGCTCATTGAAACCCTAGAAAGTTCCAATCTCTCTAGGGTACTATAATAAGAACACACACAAGGACAAGCAAACAGAATACCCTAAAAGTAAAAGCAGAAAAAATGATAGCATACATATAATACAATCAGAAAATGACATACAGCCACTTATAAGAATCATTGATTGATTCCATCAATATCCTATAAAACTGGAATTTATTTTATCAGTGTAAAGCTATAACCTCAATACAGAAAAAATATAAATGAAGTAATTCACAGGCTTAGAAGTCCATTTGACAAATGCCATTTTAAGAAATCACTTGATCCTCTAACCTTGCGAGGTTTTACAGGGACGTCCAGTACAACATTTGATCCTCTAACCAAGTCTTGCATCAAAGACCCACTCCAAGAACCAGCTGCAATTACAATGGCCTTCCTACAATACAATGTGTTCTTTGATGTTTGAATTGCTTGAATCTCTCCATTGCAACCTGATCTGGTTAACACATGAACATTACACTCTCAAATGAAAATTTTCAATCTCAAATCACCTCCGATGATATTAACAGACCTTAATAAATAAGTGGCTGGGTCATGATAAAATTCCGCATATCTGCCATTTGAGGCAAAATGCCTGTTACCCTACATATTAAACATTCTACATTAGCAAAACCAACACTAAGTTGGCTGTACATTTCCAATTAAACAAACGCTATAATCTCAACGTACTTCTTCAATGAATGAAACAGTACGATAAGCATCCAACTGACAATCATCTGGTAGAAATGCAGCTCCACCTTCCTTCCCAACCTCAAGTGCTGGTTCCTCTGAAAGTAATGCATGACCAGACAAGTACTCTGCCTCCAAACCAGCCTCAGCTAATTGCTGCACCCTACCTTTTAAGATGTTTAGCTCTTCCGGTGTTCTACCAATCAACAAGCTTCCTATTAATTAAGAATATCATATCATGATCATCTATTTTTATAGGTATTGAAGGATATAAAAAGATCATTAAATAAGAAAGCATTATAAGATCTAAGAAACTCGTTATTAAGCATTCTCAAATTTGTTCCTTTGAAGCCCCAACATATTACAACAACTGGATTATTCAAGCATGCTAAGTTCAGCTGATCAAAATCATGCAAACACGCAATTTTGGAATCAGTAACTTCAGGTCTAAGAAGTTCTTTTTTTTTCTTTTTGAAATAGGTAAAGTAAGAATTTCATTAAGACAAAACATGTACAACAAAGAGCTGTACACAGAGGTTTACAAAAACTGCACCAGCAGAGCTAGATCCCCAAACCCCGATTTACAAAAGGATTCCCAACCGCAAAAAAGGAATTAAAATTTCTGTCCTTGAAAACATTGTTTACTGCTAAACACGAAACATTTTTCCCACAACTTTCTGAAATACTGTATCAGAGGAGCTGTGTTGGTTCTTGAAAATCCTTGCGTTCCTCTCCTTCCATATGCACCAGAAAACCGCAGCAGGAGTCAGATTCCAATCCAATTTGCCCTCTTTAGTTAGACCTTTTTTTTTATGTATCTCTTTAGTTAGACCTTTGACTCTCCAACTCTTCACAAAGTCTGCCACTGATTCAGGGCAGCAACTGTTCACCTCATATAAATTCTTGACTTTGTTCCAGACCTCACAAGAGAAAACACAGTGGAGTACCAGGTGGTTTACTGACTCGGACTAATTCTGACAAAGCACACAGACGGTTGTGTTTAACAGCATACCCTTCTTCTCCGGGTCTAAGAATTTTCTTTTATAATAATAGGAAAAAATTATATGAAGAACATAAGAACAGTATACTTAAAGGTGAGTTTTTTGGTAAATAAAATAAAAATTTACTAAAAGAAAAAAAAATAATAGATACAATGAAGAGGACCATAAGTCACCCAAGAGAGAATCCAACCAAACAAAACCAGACACCAAAGACCAAACTTCAACCCCCATAACATAAAGCCAAAAAAGCAGCCAAAACAAAACAAAACCTTAACCCATAAACAAACATTACAAAAGGTGACAAGGTTTCACCAAAAGAAACAAAAAATACTTTTCTTCTTCTGTGAAGATTCCTTGAAAAAAAAGGGTTGTTAGCCACCAAAGTTCATTAGGCAAGAGTTATGGAAGATTAAATTCTGGCCCCCATAGAGGTCTGATGGAAGATTCCTATCAGCCTAGAGTTTTGCAAAATTCAATTTCAATGGTTATTGCAAGTTATGTTGGAAAGCTTGAGACTCAAGTTACTGGAGGCTTGTTTGATCAGCAGGTTTATAGGAGCAGATCCAGATATAGAAAGTTTGCATGGGCTGTGAAGGAATGGGATCAGGAAGGATCTCTGATAGTGATAGTGAGGCACGGTTATTCTTGTTCATCTTTGACAATATAGATTCGGTGGTTACAATGTTAGACATGGAAAGAGGCATATACTGATAGTGAGGTAGGGTTATTCATGTTCATCTTTGACAACATAGATTTGGTGGAGACTGTTAGCCATGGAAAGTGGCTATTACTGATATCCTCAACTTCAGTTAGGACATTGGTTTCTTTTGGCTGGTATGGTTAGAAAATTTTCAGGGAGGAAATTCTTATGGATCAACCGATCAACATAATAGCATTCCTCTTCATGTAGGTGTGTGCAAACTTTCAGGGCTATTGGAGGTAAAATCTGCAAGTTTGGAAGAATAGATCGAATGAACGAAATATGGAAAAAAGTCAATGCTGCAAGAATTTTGATTGAAACCAATAAAAGCTGACTCCAATATCATAGAAATTCAATTTTGCCAGAGAAGTTTTTTTAATCAGTAACTGTGAAATTTAATGATATAATATGAAAAAATGAAAATTACTATTTATGATAATTTTCAGGCTTACTAATTATAGTAATTCTCATAATTAATATTTTAATAAACTATGGATTACTATTTTTAGTAATTTCTGATGTCTTTACCAAAAAAAATTAAGTTAGTGGGATTAGAAAAGTTTTATTAGAGTTGTTTAGGAGTTGGAGTCCTTATTTAAGTCAGTGTGGGTTAATTGTGGATTTCTCTTAGTTTCAAAGCTTAGAAATTGATTTTGGGTCAGTTTCCTAGTCCAAATTGGAGTCTGTAAAGGGACATTTGAGTTAGTAAGTTGAGTCTATAAAATCCTGGTTGCTGCCAAAATTTTTTCTCTTTCCCCCATCTCTCTTAGTTCTCTTCTTCTAAGCAATCTGACTCTTTGTTGTTTACTCTAAATGCAAGATCATACCTCTTTCTTCCTAATTTATCACATAACCAGTTCGTACTAGAGAGAATACACCAGAAATCAGGGGTGTTTCACAGAATGAATCAACCCCACCCAAAGAGCCAGTGTGTGTGTGTGTATGAAATATGTACAACTACAGAAAAGTCCTTATAGGACTAAAGAAGAAGAAAACGAAAGGAAATAAAGAATAGCATAAAACAGGGACTATAGTAACACAATACAACATCAAGACTTCACATTCCCCTTCAAACTAATGCAAATTCATTAGCATCAGTTTGCTTACAAGAAATAGATATCTAGATCTCATCTGCATATCTAATAGTGAGTGAAGCCATAGTGAGAGGAAGATCAACATCAAGACTTCACATTCCCAGCATATCTTTACAGCAGGGATAGGCATAGAGAGAGGGAGATCAAGATCCTCAAATAGTGATTGAAGCCAAACAACCACACTGCACACAATGACATTGCCCTATACTGTACTTTTGTAGATGACTTAGAGATAGTTTGTTGTTTCTTGCATTTCCATGAGATGAGGGAATCACCCATAAAGACACACCACCCTGTTGTGGAACGTCGGGTGTTAGGGTAGCCTGCCCAATCAACATCAGCATAGGCCCTCAATTGGACAGGAGAGGCTGAACAGAAGAATAGTCCCTATGATAAAGTACCACAAACATAGTGAATAATCCGGTGGACAACAGTCAAATGGGGTTGATGATGCAGTATGGGATTTGGCCCAGCTGAGTAAACATTTACTGGGTTAGTTCAATGACTCATCTTAGTTCGTATTTACCAAGATAGCATCACCGTAGGATTTTGGATTTATCTATCTTGATTTGCATTTACCAAGTTAGCATCTCAACGAGATTTCCGAATTTGTATTAAATTATCACTTTCGTTTTAGAAGAGATTTAGTAGCATTCTAATAAGGAATGTTCAATTAGATTAGGAAACCTTCTTGTCGGAGGCAAAAGGTGTAAAGAAGTCTATATAAAGAGTAGCTAGACCAAAGCTAGGGGTGTTTTGGTTGATTTTCTCTTAATTATTCAGCAAAGAATTGTTCTTCTCATGTTTTCTTTCAGCTTTGGTTCCGTTCTTTGAAGCTTCTCCAAACATGATTTGTTTCAAAACTGCGCCATTTGGTATCATAGCACAAGTTTAATCCTTCTTTGGATTGAGATTCCTAAGAAGTAGACCTGTTCATGGGTCGGGTGGCCCGACGGACCGGCCCGGCCCCGGGATGGGCTTGAACATGTTTATAGGCCCGCGGGCTTAAACTCGGACCAAAAAGCCCAGCCCGCAATAAATTCGAGCCGGACTCGGGTTTTGTCAAAATAGCCCGGCCCGAGCCCAGCCCGGCCCGACCTAAAATTAAACTTAAAATGGGTTATGTGATTATGTCCATTTGAATAAATTTTTGATTTAAGAATGTAAAATTGTGTTTTAAAACATAAAAGAAAGGGAAAAAAACCATCTTGTAGGCCCATTGTTCATTTAAATAGGAAAAAAAACCATCTGAATTTTTAATTCTAATTTGAATAGGGAAAATTGTAATTTTTTTTATTAGGTCGGGCTTCGGGCTCGGGCTCGGGCTTCGGGCTTTTTATCAGGGCCGGGCTCGGACCCAAGTTATAGGCCCGTTGGTCGGGCCAGGCTCGGGCTCGGGCCTAGCGTATTTCCATTAATAATGAGTAAAAGCCCGGCCCGGCCCATGAACAGGTCTACTAAGAAGAAACAAGCGGCACACATCATGGAGCAGGAAATCAACAACAAAACACAAGAAGATGTGGCAAAGTTGAGAAGACTGAAAGGATAGCAAAGTTGAGAAGACTGTCCAACAAAGACAAGTCGACGCACTTGCTCAAGAGTTGAGATCGCTACATTCTCGTTCTGAAACAAGGGATAGCAACTCCGACACAAGTGCCTCCACTCATTCCTTTTCATCATCAAGGAAAGCAACCAGATTGGTTGTAGTTGCAGGTGGTGACAAGAAACGACAGGAAATCGGTTCTTTCACTTGAGATCCCAAAGTTTCATGGAGGTTCTTTCACTTGTTCTTTACAATCATCAAGGAAGCAACTAAGGTAGTTGTAGTTGTGAGTGGTAACCCAAAGCAGTGGGAAACAAATCTCCAGAATGACTTCCCAGAGTTTCATAGAAGTATAGATCCAAATGAATTCAAATCTGATGACTTTATTGATTGGTTTAATATTGTTCAGGATTGTAATGAAAATCTTGTGTGGCCATTCTCCTCAACAATATCTATTGAAGAAAAGCATGCTGATTGGATGGAAGGGGTTCAAATCCAAACCCCTGGGTCCTTAAGGATTTTTATCAAGACTGCTAGGAAATTTTAAGGGATTACTTGCAGAAGGTGTTTAATGAATATTTTGGGAGAGGTATTATCAATCTAGGGCTTTACTCCACATTTATTAACTTCATCCCCAAGAAGTGTGAAGCATTGCATCCGAAGGACTTTAGGCCTATCAATCTAATCAATAGCTTGTATAAAATCATTGCTAAGGTTCTATCCAAAAGAATTTGGGTTGTTCTTCCTTCTTCGATTAATCCGACTCAAGGAGCCTTTGTTCAAGAGAGGAAAATCGTTGATCAAATCTTAACTGCTAATGAATGTGGTGAGGACAAAAGGAGATCTTCTTAAGGAAGGGGTTGGTTTGCAAGTTGGACCTGGAGAAGGCTTATGACCCGGTTGCTTAGGGTTTTTTGTTAGAAGTAATGAAGAATTTTGGTTTTGGTGATAGGTGATGTAGATGGATTTCAGGTTGTTTAATGTCTTGTCATTATTCAAAATTGGTTAATTGTTGTACTGGATCACTTTCCAACTATTAAGGGAATTAGACAAAGTGACCCCCTATCCCCCTTTCTTTCCACTTTGGTTGCAGATGTGCTTGAGAGACTAATTACGAGGGCTGATTGGTAGAGAGGAGATCCCTATCACTCATCTTCAGTTTACGGATGACACCGTTTTGTTTTGCGATGGGAGTGATAGGAGAATTGTCATCTTATTTGAGAGAATGTCCAACTTAAAAGTGAATTGCGATAAGAATTGCCTTGTGGGTTTGAACATGGAGGATAACCAAGTGTTTGAATCATAGTTGTCAAGGTGATGCCTAGGGACCCGCCTGGGCGACAAGGTGCCCTTGGAGTCTCACCTCGCCTAATCGCCAAGCAGTTTTCTATAGCGTGTTATAACAAACTTCTATATTCTTAATTTTTTGAGGTTATAATTATAAAATAGACATTTTTAAACTAAAATATTATTTTGTGTGTTTATATACTAATTTCTTTTTGTTATTTTCTTATTTGTTAGGGTTTAATCAACACAAACATTCATAAATGCTGTATTCAACCGTCAAAGACTTCAAAACCTGAACCAATAAGTAAGAAAATAAAATGTTGCCCAATCAACACATTTTCTTCTTTTTATTTACGAATTTTGTGTTTTTGTATACTAATTTTTTCTTCTTCCACCTTTTCTTTTCTTCTTTTCCTATACCTATATTTTTCGAATTTTCTTTTCTTTCTTCTTTTTCTTCTCATGAATATGTTGGAATATGTTGATTTTCTATACTTTAACATGAAGTTTATACTTTTCTTATGAAAATTATGGATATTTATAAAGGAAATATGATTATGGAACCTAGGGAACTACCTTAAGATACATGTTTTTACTTAAAAAAAAGGCAAATTCCAGCCAGGGGCATAAAAAATACCTCCAAAAGCAATGTACTACTTTAGAAATTTCGAATTTTTATACCCTGCAAATACAAATTCCCATCAACTCCACTGGCCCACACCCACGTCACCCCAACGTCCTGTCATATTATAAAAATACCCGAAATACCCCTGATACCCACTTGACTCTCGACCCTCTATAGAGAAACCCAGGAATACCCCTAACATTCCATCGCGGTTAAACAGTTAATCTTCTATCTCCTCCCAACGGCATTAATCTTCTCTCCCCTCCCAACTTCCTTCTTCATTTCTTCCATTCACTGGCGTTTGTTTGAAGAAGACGAACATCCAGTTTTACTCACTATTTTCCACGCAACATCCGAAGACCAAACCTGTTCATTCGATCAATGGAAGACAAGGTAAGATTCTAACCTTCTCTCTTTCTTCCCGCTACGTCATTCTCTCCATTTTTTTATCTTTATTTTCATTTGTAAATCCCACATTTCCCTTCATTTTTTGATCTTTACTCACCTGTTCATTCGAACATCTAGTTCTACATGCGGCAAGGACTTTGTAGAGAAGCATGCATTCCAACACCCAACTTGTTCATACAATGTAAGATTCTAACCTTCTCTGTCATTCTTTCCATTTTCCCTCTTTTTTTATCTTTACTATTCTTTGTAACTCCCGCTTCCCTTCATCTGTGTCATAGTTGGTAGGAGCCAACTACAACACTAATACTGATTCCTCAAGGTTGTTAATCACTTAACTTGATCAAGAAACACTCCAAATACTGAAATCAATATCACAACACCCAAACAATGGGATTTCTCATGAAAAGAACCCCTGACAGCAAGGCCAAAAAGATACTATCAAGAAACACAAGATAAACCAAGTCCAAAAACTAATAAAATCAATCAACTTCGGTTCGACAAGCCACAGAGATGCTCTACCCTATTAAGGAATTGAAATCCTCCAAGAAAATACCAAAACAGCTCCAACCAAATGATACTTAGTGTTGACAGTCCAAACCAGTAGGGTAATAGGACTGTTGAACTAAGAAAAGGGATTAAAACCCTTTAGAACCAATTTAGAACCTCAACCAAGAAACCGAGAAGCAAGAAGACCCTAGGGTGACGACACCAAATCTAGGGTCCCAAGAAAAATGAAACATCTGATTGAGAAAAAAGGGGATTCACCAACCTGTTATGTGATTTCTCTAGAAAAAAATTGTGCTGTTTTGTGCTGATCAAAACAGCCTTCAAATGACCTCCAACCAAAGGCTCGAAGATGGATATTGAAAGCCTAACGAAAACCCTTCAGACTGGAAAAAGAACCTGAGATTACAACCTGATATCCACAACCTACTCTGATACCATGTCACATAACCAGTGCGTGCTAGATAGAATGCACCAGAAATCAGGGGTGTTTCACAGAATGAATCAACCCCACCCCAAAAGAGCCAATATATGTACAATTACAGAAAAGCCCTTTAAGGGTTAAAGTAGAAGAAAACAAAGAAACAAATAAAGAATACCATACAACAGGGACTACAGTAATATAGTACAACATCGGGACTCTTCACATATCCTTCATATTTAATCACCCACAGCCCCTCTTTTTTTAGTTTTTTGAACAGGTGAAGTAATTATTATTTTTTTAAAAAGGGTTTAAGTATCGATATTGTATTGATTTACTATAGAGCAAAAATACATCAGTCATGTACAATGAGAACCCATACATTGGTAATATACAAAACAAAGAAGAGTCATCCCTAAAAAGGGAAAGCTTGCAATAAAGAACTTAGTTGGACACCCTGAAACCAGGGGAGAAGCCAAGTATATTGGTGGGGGGTCCTTGGTCACCCAAACTTTTTGTTAAAACCATGGTTACCTAGTGGAGGCTGGGTTAGAAACATAATAAAGTGGGTTCTTGCCCCCCCACACACACAAAAAAAAGGAACTAAAATTGTAAAGGATCACTCTCTAAGGCTCCTCCAACTCCTAAAATTTAAAAAACAAAAATTATTTATTTTTCTTTAAAAAATCTGTAATAAACCAAAACCTTCTCAGGCCATTTTCCCCCAAACCCTACTCCTCCCCAACTCATTTGCTTGTTTAACTTAGCAATCCAAAAGAAAATTCCTGGCTCCGCCACTGCCTGAAACATTCTATGTACACCCAGCCAAGAACAAAGCAAACCTATGAGATTACTACTGACTTCCTCCAAACAGAATATTTGTTGTCAACATGATTTAAAGTGCCCACATATTTCCTAATATTTCTATGACATATTTCCATTTCCATGGGTAGTGACACAAAATTTTCATATTCCCCAGTGAAGACTACCGGCACTATGTGGAGTACAAGAGATAGTATTATAACATAGGTTGATGACAATATTTTAGATATGTGGAGTAGCAATATTACTACCCGCCTAATTTACATGATTAAAACTTTGAGCTAGCTCAATATTCATTTCATACATGAAGTTAAATAATAGTTTTTCATTGTATAATAGATTATTTGGTTAATCTATTAGAGTCATTTGCATTTTCTATAAGGTTAACTTTTGCTTTAACTCATTCTATCATGTAGTTTCAAAATCTTAAGGTTTACAGCACAACTTCAGAACGTATTCTTTTTGCCTAAAACCTTAGCTTCTAAGCTTTTAATGATTTGGAACAAGATAATAATTTAAAAAAGTGTGTCCATGAATTTATCAAAAAAAAAAAAGTGTGACCATGCTTCTTTTATCATTTCATAAAGTATCATTCTATATTTTAGCATATTTTAGAATGTTTCCACCATGTCAATAATTTTTACAATATTTCCATATGATATTTCTGACATGGTTCCTATATTTAGATGACTGATTTCCACTGATGCCAACATTTTAAACCTCAAGGATTGGTAGGGAATGCAAAGAATGGGGTTGTCTAGGGTCAGGTGCTAATTTATAAGCTGTAAACTATATCAGTTGTTATTTAACAAAAAAATGATATCAGTTGTTTTTTCTGTGTTTTTTATGTTTGTGTGACACCTGGCATGGTGATTGGACGGTTGTACTTTGAACCAGTTTGCCTTATTGTTTGCTTTTGAGCAGTATTGGGCTTTTTAATGAAATATTTTCCGTTACCTATCAAAAAATATAATACGGCAACAACTAATATTAAGGAAAATTACAATAGTGCCCTTGCAGCACAATCTACCAGAAAATACAATAGGTAGTATAGAAAAGAAATCCAGACAACCTGATTAGGCACTTTTTCCATAAACAATTCCCAAAAAAGTAATAAGAGGATTAATAATCAGATTATTTTTTTTTTATAGAATAGCATAAAGCAGTAGTACCTGTTTTCCTCCAACCCAATATTTCTAATGGACTCATGCCCTGATGTTGTATACTATCTGCCAGTATTTCCCACAATTGCTTGCTTCTCATTGCAAGTTCCCATATATCACTTCCAGGTGTTTTGTGGATCATCCATATATAACCCTGGCCTGACATCAGCTCAAAAGGAAAAATAGAAAGTCAGGAAATCCTAGAGCAGGAAAAAGTTCATGAAATGTAATGAAAACATTCAAAGGAAGAAAAGGATAAAGTCTACAATTACCCATCAAATTCCTTATGATTTCCCACAAATTGATTGAGCTACACCCATGAACATAACTAAGATTCCAAAGAAATCACTGAATCATCTTGATGCAGGAGCAAGAAGCTCAGGTATGAAGTTCTATGGATTTTTTTTTTTGTATTCTTAAAAATAGTAGGGGTGTTTCAGTCATTTTATATAGTATCCATTGGTTCTGGCCTTAAGAGTTTGCTTCATCTATTCATAGTTTAGTTGTGTTTAAAATGACAATCATTACTTTAGGAGTTATTGAACTTTCACTGAGTTAAACTATGGTGGTGGCAATTGGTGTGATATTATCCAGTCATGCATGGAGTTACTTGAATAAAACAAGTAGATTTCTGTTCTAATGTAATTCAGAAAAGAGAAGAAGAGAAAAGAAGAGTAGAGGATAAGAAGAAGAGAAGAGAGGAGAAGAGAGAAGAAAGGGGTTCGGTTCTTGATATCTGCCGCCCCAAATTCTTTCTTATTTATAACCTTTAATTCCTTACAATAATAGGAAAGAAATACTTAAGTCCTAATCCTAGTAAGACAAAATATAATATAGATAAACATGAAAAGGCCAGCCGGCCCAATCTTAAAAGAAAAATAAAAACAATTAGGAAACTAGGTGTGGGTATGGAACCACACACACTAGAGCTTGAGTGTGGGTATGGAACCCCACACTCGTGACTAATGAGTAGATATTTGTCATGCCCAACTTGCATAAATTTGTCTCCAATTTGATTTTTGTGACTGCTTTGGTGAAGAGATCAGCTAACTGCATGTCTGAGGCAATGTAAGGAAGGCATACTTCTTGAGATGCAACTCGCTCTCGGATAAAATGCCTGTCAACCTCGATATGCTTAGTCCTATCATGCTATATTGGGTTGTGGGAAATATTAATTGCAGCTTAATTATCGCAATATAGCATTAGACGCTTCTCATAATCAATCTCCAACTCATTAAGCAAGGATTTCAGCCACAACTCTTCTACGACACCATTGGCCACGGATCTGTATTCTGCTTCTGCACTGGAGCGAGCAACAACATTCTATTTCTTGCTTCTCCAGGAAACAAGGTTTCCCCCCACAAATGCACAATATCCAAAGGTAGATTTCCTGTCATCAACACATCTAGCCCAATCCGCATCTGTATACACTTATTTTCATATGACCATTATTCTTGAAAAGTATACCTCTCCCTAGACATCTCTTTAAGTAAGCAAAAATCCTTTCTACTGCAAGGAGGTGGGTGGTCCTGGGAGAATGCATGTATTGACTGACAATACTAACAGCATATGAAATATCTGGCCGAGTTAGGTAGAGATAAAGAAATTTCCCAACCAACCTTTGGTACATAGCCCTATCCTCAAGTAATTCTCCACTTTCTGCACTATCTTATGGTTAGGCTCAATGGGAGTATCAACAGGTTTCACTCCTAACTTTCCAATTTCTTCCAATAAATCCAGAACATACTTCTTTTGAGAGATGAAAATGCCATGCTTAGATCGACCTCAATTCCTAGGAAATAGTGTAATTTCCCTAGGTCTTTTACTTCAAATTTCTTGTGAAGGTGTTATTTAAGGGTTTCAATTTCACTAGTGTCATTTCCTGTTATCACAATGTCATCTACATAGACTACAAGTAGAGTCAGGGAAGGACCTGTCTTCTTAAAGAAGAGAGTGTGATCTAACTGAACCTGTATGAGAATCAACCTGCCTCCACCACTTGCTGTGATACACCCTCAACTTCCTGCATTTTTGACAACCTTCTTCGCAACTCCCCCCCCCCCCAAGTAACTGGGACAGGTAATGGAACTCTTAGAGCTGGAACTGAAATCCCTTCCTCACTATTCTCCCCCTGAAGAGAAGCCATATGGTAGTAGGGCATATCCTCAAAGAAGGTGACATCCATGGGCACAAAGCGCTTCCCTGAAGCTGGCTCATAACAGCAATATCCCTTTTGATTTTGTTCATACCCAAGGAAAATACACTTAGTGGCTTTGGGATCAAACTTGGAGCGATAAGATCCAAGGATTTAAACAAAACAAGTACACCCAAAAGTTTTGAGGGGAATAGTGAATAGGTCCTTATCTGGATATAGAAGACTGAACGAGGATTGCATGTTTAGGACCCATAAAGGAACCCAGTTAATGAGGTATATGGCTGTACGGATTGCATCTCCCCAGAAGCGTACGAGAACATTGGAGTTGAGCATGATACTTCTGGCTACCTCTAAAATATGTCTGTTTTTTCTCTCAGCAACCCCGTTTTGCTGAGGTGTGTGAGGACAGGTGCTCTAATGAATGATCCCATGATCAAGGAGATAGGATGCCAAGGGTTTTGCAAAGTATTCCTTGGCATTATCAGATCTAAGACTCTTGATCTTGGTTTCAAATTGAGTTAGGATCATCTTATGGAAAGCTTGGGTCAGAGAGGGGACCTCAACTCGAGAGTACATAAGATAGACCCATGAAAAATGGGTATAGTCATCAACAAATAATAAGAAATATCTGTACACCCCATGGTGGGAGTATGGTAGGGCCCCCAAACATCGGTATGCACAATCTCAAAAGGAAGGTTGCTTCTTTTATTACTTAAAGGATAAGATGATCTACTATGTTTTGCAAGTTCACAACTTTCACATTTTAACCTAGACACTTTTACTGACTCAAACAAGTTTGAAAAAGACTCTTTAAAGACCCAAAAGATAAATGACCTAAGCGGTTGTGCCAAAGCATAATCTTACTACAAGACTGAGAAACAAACAATTTCCCTACATCACTCTACTCCCCTTGTGAATGTTCCAGCAGGTAGACTCCATTCATCTCATGGTCAATCCCAATCACCTTCTTCGTTTCCAGATCCTGAAAAATGCACTGACCAGAGAAAAAAGTTACAGAACAGTTTTGACTTTTAGTAATACTACTAACTGAAAGTAAGTTAGCACTAAGCTCGGGAACATGCAAAGCTGTGGAGAGGGTGATGATATCTGATAATCTGATGTCTCCCTTGCCAGAAATTAGTACAAGAGAGCCATCAATAATAGAAACTTTATCTCTCCTGGAGGATAAACAATAGGTGCTAAATAGAGTAGATATGTTAGTCATATGATCTAAAGCATCTGAATCTATTACCCAGGAAGGTCTAATATTACCTGGGACAGAAGCATGACAAGCAGTAGCTCTTGTAACTGTATGAGCAAGGGTTGAAGTAGGCTATTGAGCTGATGTAGGCTGAGCTGAATTACTAAATTCATTTTCTAGCTAAGTCAGAGCAACTCAGACTGCAGCTAGGGTATCTAGAAGAGTGCCTTTTATGCCTGATGAAGTTGTACTATTAGTGTTGATAGTCATATTAGCATTCCCTTTCTTATTTCTCAGCTTTGCTAGAACTAGATGAGGGTGCAACTTCCAACAGGTGTCCTTAGTATGTTTAGGTTTCTTGTAGTGTTCACATACTAAGTCCTTCTTAGCTTCCTTCTTCTCCTTATCCCCCCCAGATGTAGGTCTAACTGCTACCAAGGCTGATTCAGAGGGTTGTTGCTGCAACATAGCCTTTCTCCTAGTTTCTTCACTATGCATTAGGGAATAGGCTTGTGATAAAGTCACACTATCTCTTGTCAACAACTATTGCCTCACATGTCATATTCAGAGTTCAAACCAACTAGGAACTCAAAAACTCTATTAGTTTCAACCTGCTTTCTATATATTTGTGCATCTTTCTGACTCTCCACTCAATTGTTTCAAGATGGTCAATTTCATGCCACAAGGATTTTAAAGTTGAAAAGTAAACAGAGACCTGCTTCTCTCCTTGCCTCAGATTTTTAACGTCACATTTTAGCTCATAAGCCCTAGCAACATTAAGAGGCTGAGAGTAAATTTCCTTCATAACATCCCATATTTCCTTAGTTGTTTTGGCCCACAAGTAGTTTCAGCAAATGTGTGGCTGCATAGAGTTGCACAGCCATGTCATCACCAAAAAATTTTCTTGGACCCACCTAGCATAAGTAGGGTCCACCTTGGAGGGTTCCTTCACATCCCCTAGCAAGAAGTTCAATTTTCCTCTACCCCCAATAGCCATCATGGCTGATTGGACCCATTCCAAGTAGTTTGATCCGTCAAACTTAACAGAAATAATCTGAAAGGTGTTTTCAGTCATGCTACCTGAACCACCAGTCCCAAAAGCACCTTCCCCTTGGTTCTTGTACTCCATTCTAAGTTAAGAAGAGGCTTTAAACTACTGTGACAAGAAAAAAATTGTATTTCAAGGTTGATAATAGCCGACCTAGGACAATGATTTTGCAATTAGAAAACAGTCAACTACTGTCCTGGGATTGATATCAGTCCTGGACTGATTGATATCAGTCCTGAGATTTTCTATCCGTACCTCTCTGAATCAATATCAAAGTCCTTTTGAGTATCAATCTCAAGAAAAGGTACTTACTTTATGAAGAAAAAAGCCCAGAAAACTGATTGCTACCTTCAGTCTTCAAACTTGATCAATCGATTATTGTCAACAACTTGAATCTTGATCAAAGAAACAAGAAAAAAAAACTGATCGGCACCTCCAATCTTGATCAAGAATCGATCTTGATCACTCAATTCCTGCCTGATTTTTCCTGATTACAAGCTCTCTCCAATCTTAGGACAGCTGCTAAAGCCTTCTTGCAACCTCCAAGAATCAGGCGAAATAAGGATCTTTCTGAACTTTCAGCCCTAAACAATTCTCATGTGGTCGGCTGAATTAAATCCACATGAGAAACCCTAGATCTAAGGCTCTAATACCAACTTGAAAGAAGAAGAAGAATTGTTTACTGTATTACAGGTTTGAGGAGAAGAAAAGAGAGAGAGAGAGAGAGAGAAAAGAGTGAAGAGAGGAAAAAAGAA